GGGCGGGCCTTTGCCAACATAAGACGTTATCTGGACATGCGTTGGCTGCTGCTGTTGCTGCTGCTGCTCCTCCTCCACTACGTCCCCCCCCGCTTCCCTCCTCCTTCGTCCTTCACCGTCCTCTTCCTCATCCTCCTCCTTCGTTCGTTGCCTGCTCCTTCTCCACCGTTTTTTGTTGTTAAGCTTTCTCTTTCTCTTTTTTTGTTTTGTTTTTATTTGTTTATGTCGTTCATTATTTCTTTCTCTCTCTCTCTCTCTATTCTCTCTCTTTTTCTCACTTTTGTTTCAATGAGTATATTTGTGTATGCATGTCTGTTTTGTTGTTTTTTGGGGCTCTTTCTCCCTCCCTCTCTCGAGGGGTCCTTCGTGTGCCCCCCTCCCCGTGGGAGGTGCTTGCGGTCCTGGAGGCCGAGCTGGAGCAGACCGTCCTGGCGCCCAGCAGTCGGTGGGTGACCGCGGCCAAGTCGGAGACCGCTTCCTCTGCTGCTGCGCTGGTCCGAAAGTCGATCGCCTGGCGTCCTTTTCGCTCAACCGACCCTTAAGTCGCGCCTGTCCCTTTGCAGGGAGAGTATCCAAAAATAGTCCAAACATGGCCTGGGGCTTTTTTCATTTTTTTGTTCTCTCTCTTCATTTCCGGAGCATTATGGGGGTATTTCTTCATGTTTCGTCCAAAATCCCCCTGTAGGGGGACAGGCCCGACCTAAACCGACCCCTTTTTTTCACGTCCCCATCCCCATCCCCATCCAGGCACCCGCCATCTTGCCCCCCCATTGGGGGGTGTGCCCGTCGAGGTCCGAAGGGAAACAGGCTATCTCCCCCTCGAGGGGGGTAACTCGGCCAGTGGAGCCCAGGCCACGCCCATGGGGATAGGGGTTGATTAAACGATGCTCATGCAGTGGAGGAGGGGGAGGAGGAGGAGGAGGAGGAGGAGGAGGAGGAGGAGGAGAACAGGAGGGGTGCGGGAAGGTGGGCCTCCAGGCGGCCCGGGTCCCCGTGGGAAATCTCAGGAGGGGCCTGGAGATCCCAGGGCAAGCCGGGCGGCCCCAGGAGGCGCACGAGGCCCGCAGAGGCGGCCCAGGTGACCTGGCCACAGGCCCCCGGGAGGGCCTGGGCGACCCCTGGAAGCTTCCAGGAGAGCCGCGGAGGCTGCCATCGTGGGCTCGAGGGGGCCCTTGGGCCCCAGGTGGCCGCGGGGCGCCGCGGAGGGCCCAGGAGGCGCCTCGAGGCCCCGGGAGGGCTCCGGCGGCCGCACCGGCGGCTCCGGGGAGCCCAGGCGGCACAGGGCGCCCCGGAGGGAGGGATCACGGGCGCAGGGCGTGCACAACGTGCTCCAGGCCTCTGAATAGGTGCGGGGGGGTGGATCGCGTGCGGGCGTATAGGGGGCGGCATGCGAACCCTACTCCTACCCCCCACGATTTCTGAGGGGGAGGGTGGGGTAGGGTTCGCATGTCGCCCCCTAGCGTAGGAAGCCGCTGTCCTTCGGGGGGCGTGGGGAGGCGTTGGGGAGCGAGAGGGAGTGGGTTTGGGGCGCGTCGGGGGGCGGGCAAGGGGCGTCGGACAGGTTGGCACGGAGGGGGTGCTTCTGGTTCTGGAGTATGGTCTGCAGAGCGCACCGTGTCGGTGCGAACATCGTGTTGAGCAAGATTTTGGATCACTCGTTTGGCTGGGGGTTGTGGGCGGAGCAGCGTGACCCCGTAATTGCCACTGCTGTGTTCGAAATCGTACATACACTACACTGCCACCAACAAATATGCAGCGCAACTCAAATGATAGCCGTGCCACGTGGTATTTTTCAGGCAAGCCCATGGGAACATGTGGCACGCTGTATGCTGATGGTTGCGCGCATGGTAGCATGTGACACGGCCTCTACAACCATGGCGCAACAACATGTTGGACATTTTTTGTGCAGCTCAGCATAGCACAGCATTGCATAGCTAAGCACTCTGCATCACAACGTCGAATCGCATAGAGTGACGCAGCAGAGCATGGCACATCATTTGCTAGAATATTATAGCGTAAAGTTGCGTAGCGCAGGCATCGCATACCATACCACATAACCAGCATATCATGTCAGTTCATCCCATATCATAGCTTCGAGTAGCGCGGCATCGTGTGATTCCCCAATCAGAGCTTGCCTCTGTAGGGGTCCTAGCGGATTCATATGGTTAGGTTAGGTTTGCCGCCGATTTTCGCCGCACGCCCGGGTGCCCGGGGGTGCCCGGGGGTGAGGTTTGCCGCCGATTTTCGCTGCACGCCCGGGTGCCTGGGGGTTGCCCCGTGGGTGCCCGGGTGCCCGGGTGCCCGGGTGCCTGGGTGCCCGGGCGTACCCGGGGGTGCCCTGGGGTGCCTGGGGGTGCCCTATAGCTCTATAGCCCTATAGCCCAATAGCCCTATAGCCCTACAACTCTATAGCCCTATAGCTCTATGGCCCTATGGCCCTATAGCTCAATAGCCCTATAGCCCTATAGCCCCCTAGCCCTATGGCCCTGATTGTTTTTTTTCTCCGGTATCATATGCTCAAGCAGAACCCAGCATATCATACCGTATAAGTGCAAAGCACACCATGACATAACGCTACATTGCAGAGCATACCATGGGATAGCCAAGTGCAACATATAATAGCATATCATAGCATAGCATAGCATAGCATAGCATAGCATAGCATGGACCAACATTTTTTTTGAGTAGGGGACCTGCGCCTTGCAAAGAGAAACTGGCCGACTAGGAGATCCCAGGCACCGTTTTACTCGAGACAGCGAGTATGGGTCTCTTGTGCAGTTTTAGTCTTGGGGGAATCATGAGCTAGAGGTGCGGATTCTTTCAGGCACTAGCACGGTTATGGAACTGTCGGGCAGATCTCTTCAGGGAAGATCAGGAGACTCAGGCAGCCTCGTGTCCCTTCAGAGGTCGCAGTCGGTCGGGTGGTCCTGCAGCAACCACGGGGCGGATTTTGCCAAGTAACTGACAAGATGCATTGTCCCCAAGAAGAGGTCGCGCCTCAGAATTGTTGCCCACGCCGAGGCGGGAGCACAGGCTACCGCACTCCATGCGTGGCAGCACAGTGCCCGAGCGTTGCCATCGTGCTTCCCCTGGCTTTCGCCAGATCCCAGGGTCAACCACTTCGTTGTTGAATTTTCAGCGTTTGGGTGTTGAGCGGCCGCGGGGGGCAGGAAGCCCAGTAAAAAGCGTGCGCCAGCTTGCGTGGGTGTCGGCGCCGAAAATCCCCGACCCCTCTCGCGTCGAGGATTCTGCTTCGCAGAGCAGGCTCCTGGAGTGTTCGACCTCTTTCGCGTGACTGTGTCTTCTTCCTGGAGTTTCCTCTCGGTAGTTTTTCTGGTTGTGCCCTCCTGGAGTTTCCTCCTGGAGCTCCCTCCTGGGCTTCCCTGTGATTGTGTCTTGTCCCAGTTTTCGACCTCGTCCTGGAGTTGCCTCCCTGGCAGCTCGTGATGGCCCTCCCCGCAGGTTTGGACGCCCGAAATGGGTACGGAAAAAATGGGTACAATGCCCAACAACAAAGGTTGTCCCAATTGGACAGGCGGCCTTCTGTCTCGAATGGGCACAGGCGGCGGCGGCGCGGACAGCGAGTCCTGTTCAAAATGAACAGGAACCGTTGTTGAGCATTGTGCCCATTCTTTCCGTGCCCATCTCGTTCGTGCAGAGCAGGGCGGAGGCCGACTCCGCGGGCACTGCGGCCCCACGGAGGCAGCAGCGTCCGCCGACGGAGGGCAGCGGCCGCACCGCCGCCCAGCCGCAGGCGCAGAGCGCGGCCGCGGCCGCCGCAGGCCTTCGTCGCCACCATTGGGTCCGCCTCGAAGGTCCCGGTCAGGACGCACCTTGGGAGAGGTCCGGGGAGGGGAGAGTCGGGGCGGAAGCTGGAACATGCACATTACCAGTGGCGGGCTGTTTTTCAATCCCAGGTTTTTTTTGAGGGTCGAGGACGGCGCCGGTGGTGTGGTGTGTACTTGTTTCCCCGATGTCCCGGGGAAGCGACGAAAAATGTATACACCAGGATCCCGTCTACACCAGAATCCGCGTTCCTGTGCGAATTTCGGCGCAGGGCCGGGAAAAGCGTCGGTGTATAGAGTTCGATTCCCTACGGGAGCCTCGCGACGGGGGTCGATGCGGGTCAGCCAGAGCGCCGGATCTTACAGGATCCTGCACGGCCAGGGTCGCACTGACCCGGGCTCGGGTGCAGGATGCTGCAGGATCTTGCAGGATCCTTGGCATTGGCCCGGGTTTGGGTGCAGGATCCTGCAGGATCTTGCAGGATCCTGCAGTGCCCGACTGACCCGGGTCTGGATTGGCCCGGGTCAGCAGATCCCCGAGAGAGTTGGGCGCCGCGTAATGGGGGGGTCATAAATAGGGGGGTGGCGAGCGTGGTCCGAAAAGGTACCCAAACGGTACCTAAACGAGCCCCCTGGGGCTCCGAGGGGCCCGAAAGGGGCACGAAAGGGGACCTTTTCTGACCCCCCCATTCATTTGTGTTCCCCCATTAAGCCACGCCCAAGAGAGGTCCGGGGAGTAGCGGTATCGCTACCTGTTGGCCTCCCCACCCTGCCCCACGAAGGGCGCCGTCCGTCCGTCCTCGTGCGTCAGCTCGTCTGCCCTCGTCGCCCAGACAGCCGCGGAGCCAGGCATGTGTCCAGGCACGCCAGATATCCTCGAGGCCACGGCCTCGCCCACCTGGTCTGAGCTAGGCCCAGGCACTGCCCGCCACGGTGGTCGCCTTGCAGCGCATCGCGTCCCCTGCCGGCGGGGCGTCTTGGACCGTGCCCCGCGGCCCGGGAGATTTTCGGCAGAGTCGTCACGGAGCAGGCGAAGCGGGCCAAGACGATCGTGCAGGCCTTCCCCGCGAATGCCCCCAAGGGCGAGTTCTGAGAGCCCCCTGCGTCGCGATCTGTTCGCTACGTGCCAAGTTGTAATGCTGAGTGCCTGGGCTGCCCTCCTTGGACCGAGCCTGCCCGGCCCGGGAGACCGAGCAAAGAGCGGCCGGCGCCCAGCTGCAGTCCGCCCTGGGGGCCGCGGAGAGGCTCCGCGCGGCCGTGGACGCCGCCAGGGCGGACCCGGGGGCGGGCGGAGGCGCCGCCGCCTCTGGCTGCTGCTGCGCTCGAGTCGGGCCTGTCCCCCTACGGTGGGATTTTCGACGAAGAGCAGAAAGTACCCCCAAAAAAGCAAAAAGATAGTCAAAACATATAGTGGGTCTTATTTTTGGAGTACTTTTTGACCTTTTTTTTTTTTTCCGTCGAGAGTCCCCCTGCAGGGGGGCACGCCCGACATAATGCTACGCGCAGGAGTGGCCTTCCGCCGGAGGGGCCCTCCGTGCGGGCGCGCAGGGGCCCCCAGGGTGGGAGGCGAGGCGGCGGCAGCGGCCTGCGTGCCCCGTTTTTCGGGGCCCCTCGCGCCCTCCCCGAGCCGCGCACCACGGGCCATCAGAGCCCCGAATCAGGGGTACTCCAGATTTCGTAATAAAAGGGAGGGGGTCTGGACCCTCCAAGACGAGCCATTTCAGACCTCCCCCGTGGGAGAACCCTCCAAAACATCGTCCCCAGACCCCCCCAGGCCCTCCAAGATAGCCTGGAAGAGACCCCCCCCCGAAATGAGACCCCCCTCCCTTTCTTACGAAATCTGGAGTAACTCGGGTCAGGGCTAACTCGGGTTCGTTTTACGGGAATCCAAACCCGAGGTACCCCTGGCCCGAGTTGCCCCGGATGATTCGGGCGTCCAGAGCCCCAAATCATCAGGGGTAATTCGGGTCAGGGCTAACTCGGGTTCGTTTTACGGGAATCCAAACCCGAGTTACCCCGGGCCCGAGTTACCCCGGATCACTCGGGCGCCCAAGGTCACTCTTTCCCTGGGGTCCTGGGGTCACTCTTGCGTGTAGCCGACTGCTGCTGCCTGCTTGCCTCGAGCAGTCGCCTAAGCCGTCGCCGTCGTCGTCGCCTCCTGCGTCGTCGTTGCCGACCATTGATCGAGGTTCGTGGATGGAGGCTCTTGGGCGTTTCCAGCTTCGGGTCTTCATTCGAAGCAGTTTAATAATAAACTGCATACGCATTGACTTCTGGAGATCCGCGCGGAGCGCCGAAAGTTAATGTTTATGCCGTTTCTTCTTATTCTTCTTCTTCGAACGGAGGCCCGAAGCTGGAAACGCCCAACAGCCTCGAACCACGAACCTCGATCAACGATCGTCAACGACGACGTGTATGCCGCTGTCTCTCCCTCTGTCCGTGGGCCCCATCTGGGAGACCTTTACTCCCGATGCCCGCGCCCGTTGCCGATGCCCGCGCCCGCTGCCGTCGGTCCTGCTCCTGGTCCCGCTTTTTCCGCTCCCGCTCCCGCGCACCCGCTGTTGATTGTGATGCGGATGATGATGACGAGGATGAGGATGATGATACTGTTGATTATGATGCCGATGATGAGGATGGGGATGAGGATGATGATGCCGATGATGCTGATGCTGATGCTGATGCTGATGCTGATGCTGCTGATGCTGATGATGCTGATGATGATGATGATGATGATGATTCTGATGATGATGATGATGATGATGATGATGATGATGATGATGATGATGAGGATGATGATGATGAGGAGGAGGAGGAGTCCGAGGATGCTGAGGATGATTATGATGACGATCCTCTTCCTCTCTCTCTTCTTCTTCATCCCCTCATAACGACGGCTGGTGATGCTGATGCTAATGAGGATGGTTGTGATGGTGGTGACAGTTGTGATCATGGTGATGAAGAATTTGGTAATCGTGATGATGATGATGATGATGATGATGATGATGATGATGATGAGGAGGAGGAGGAGGAGGAGGAGGAGGAGGAGGAGGAGGAGGATGATGATGATGATGATGATGATGATGATGATGATGATGATGATGATGGATGATGTCGATGGCATTGATGGTTGGTGGATGAAGTTTCACTCCTGGAAAACGATTATCGTTAGTCTCCCCAATGGTACCCGTGAACAGTTGTTTTCTCAATTGGGGTGCCCCCCGCCGACGCTCCAACCGTGTTATTTCTCAGGGCAGGTCTTCGGGCTCAGACTGGGCCCGGTGGCCCCCGGCTACACTGACGGCTCTCGCCTCAGACTCTCTGACGATGTACTCGGGATTTGCGCTCTCGTTCGGGACCTCTTCGCACTTTGCCGAAGAATCGCGCTCTCGCCTGTGAATCCTGCATAGTCTATACAGGAACACCGGTCTCGCCGCTCAGGACTCGCGCTTTCGCTCGGGCCCTCCTTGCAGAAGAATCAGGAGTCGCGCTCTCTCCGTTCAGGAACTGGCCTCTCGCCCAGGACTTCCTTACAACATGTACTTTCGAATCTTATTCTCGCCCGATGCCTCGCCAGGATGTATGCAGGAATCGCGCTTTACTGTCCCGCCCGCCCGACGCCCGCCCGTTCCGCCCGCCTGGCCCGCCCGTGAGGGTCGGCCCGCGTGTCCCTCCCGTTAGGCTTCGCCCGCCCGACCCACCTGGTAGGTTCCGGCCGTTCCCCCGTTCCCTTGCTTGGAAGCCCGCCCGCTCTGGAGTCCCGCGCGCCCGTCCCGCCCGTGAGGGCCCACCCGCCTCGTCTGCGCGAGAAGTGTCCGCCCGTGGGACGCGTCCGTTGAGGTCCGCCCGCCCGACCCAGATGTATCGTTGTGGAGGACGATCAATGGAGAGGAAACATGCTACCAAATCATTTTTCAATGCAGAGGAAGCATGGCCAGGAAGATGTCCCAACAATGTTTTAAACATGTAAACACTTCGTTGAAACATTTTTAGAACATGCTTCACACATCTTAAATACATCTTTATTTCAATGATAGGATTGTTAGAGTGTCCATCGTCATGGCATCCACACATGTATCGCCCCGTCAGGATTTACCCAGGGGGTTGGCATGAAAGAGCTGGGCGGGAGTCGAGGGCTTGGTGCATGCGCGCTGACCGACGCGCGAGCAGCGCGGGGCGAGCGGTCTTGACATGAATCTTGCAGCTGTTGGGTGATCCTTGTCCTCCTTCTGCCCTGCCCGCGCCCGACGGGGCATTGAGCAGTCGCCTAAGCCGTCGCCGTCGCTGTCGCCGTGGCCGCCGTGGTAGCCGCCGCCGCCGCCGTCTTCGTCGTCGTCGTCGTCGCCGCCGCCGCCGCCGCCGCCGCCACCGCCGCCGCCGCCGCCGGCGCCGCCGCTGTCGCCGTCCTCCTGACGAGGCGTGGCTGAGCTCGCCCAGGCGGTGACGGGCTGCGAGTCCGCGGTGTCCCTGCTGGAGGCGTCGGCGAGTGCCGCGTCAGGCCCGCCCGCGCGGCGGGGAAGGGCACCGCACCGCACCGCCCGGGTCCTCCGCCGTTCGCATGGGCGCCGTCCGCCGGACGGAGGCAGGTACAGTCAACACTGATACGTAGTAAGGACGAGCGACTTTTCGCGGTTTCCCCCTGCCCCTTTTCCCTTCCGCCCCTCCTTGGCCACTTTTGTTGGCCGCGCCCCGCTCGAGGTGTGTCGGCATGGCCTTCCGAGGCCCTTGCAGCCTCACCGTGCGTCCTTACTATCAGTTTTGGCCGCAGTCGCCGACGTCCCATCCTGGCCGGGTCCATCCAGGACCCAAGGTCGTTGTTTACGCCGTCCTGGCCAGGCCAGGGGGAGACGGAGCACGAGGAGGAGGAGGAGGAGGAGGAGGAGGAGGAGGAGGAAGAGGAGGAAGAGGAGAAAGAAGGGGAGTAGGACAAGCTAGGTGCGCTCGCGTCATATCTGACATCCTACCCCTCCCTCCCATCCCTTACCATGGCGCAGATCCCCTCTCTACTCGCACAGTCGGATGTCGAGCAGGGCAATGATCCCGAAAGGGTACGCGATGCATTGTAGAGCACGGCATGGCATGGCGTAGAAGAGCACCGCAAAGCGTAGTATCAACCTAGCATTGCATTGCATGCCGTGGCATGGCACGGGAAATGACGCCAGCGGTGCAGCGGGAGCACGAGTCGAAACGAGCGGAAACGCGGAAATGAGGCCAGCGCTGCAGCGGGAGCACGATTCGGAACGAGCGGAAGCACGGAAATGATGCCAGCGCTGCAGCGGGAGCACGATTCGGAACGAGCGGGGCCCAAGTATGAGGCCGGCGCCTCAGCGAGAGCAGCATTTTGAAACAATGCCAGCGAAAACGCAACTCTGGGGAAACCTGCGTGTAAAAAACAGTACGCCGGGGGGGGTCGGACACTTTCAAACCGTCATCAGGGGAAGAGGGAGAGTAGTATTCATATTGAGTAATTGTGGAGTGGGGGGGCACCTGTGGCCCTCCTTCTCCTCGGCGTCGCCGTCCTCGGGAGTAGCACGACAGTTTTCGGCTTCGGCGGCGACGTCAGCCACGTCGACGACCCGCGGGGAGCGCCGTGGAGCCAGCGGGGGCGCCCCCACCCGCGGCTGGCAGCAAGGAGAGGGCGGAGCGGGAGGCGGGGGCGGAGGGAGGAGGCAGGTGGCAGGGTCGGCGGCGCGCCTCGGGGCTTGGCGCTGATTCAACCGAGTGCGCTTCCAGTGCGCTTCGTCATTGCGCGTGCTGAATAGAAGTTCGAGGTTTGCTTCCCCTTCCCGTGCCACCCTCAGGCTGGCTTCTCCTTCCTGCCTCGTTTTCTACTTGATTCGTTATTCTACCTCGTAGTCGTGGGGCGCTTCCTTCTGCTTCGCGATCGCGGGACGCTTTGCTCTTCTGCTTCACAGTCGTGCTGCGTCCGGTTTTCAGCGCCCGCCGCCGCGCGGATGCTACCCTCAAATTGATTCCTGGTTGCTGCTGTTAGGGTGTGCCGGCCCATTCGATATCGCATGCTTCTGAGAAGCTTGCGGGGAATTTCTGCCTGGCGCCCCCTCTTCGCAAGGGGTTCAACGGATTCCTGTCCACTGTTCATGACGACCTGTTTGCGCAGTGCTTCTGAGGACATGTTTCCCCAGCGCGAGTCCGACTCCAAGGCCATTGCAGATTTTCGAGGCCGCGCCTGTGACCCCGTTCTGAATGCCACGTGTTCCCCCCTCCCTCCCTTTCTCTGCCCTGCTTACCCTGTCTCGGCAAGACGAAGTTCAATCCAATTTTTGTTACAATTCCGTGCGATACCGACAGTTGTCGCTCGAGGGTGTCATTTTCGCATCAAGTCCCTCGTCGTCCTCTTCCTCCTCCTCCTCCCCCCCCCCCCCTCCATCCCTCTCCTCCTTCCCCCGCGTAGGGTTGACATGCATAACGCAAGGGCCGTTGACCGAATGCTTGCCCCGAGGGCTGCTCACTAAATGTTTGCCCCTGCGCGTGTACCACATGCTTTCATCGCGTGGTAGGGTGAGCGAGCTGGGGGTTCCATCGCGCTGTCCGCTCCCATCTTCCCCCGCCAAAAAACAGCCATGCGCGAGTGCCCCTACACGCATGTTGCCGGGAAGTTGCGCTGACTGCTGCCCCGTTGTCGTCGTCGTCGTCGTCGTCGTCGTCGTCGTCGTCGTCGTCGTCGTCGTCGTCGTCGTCGTCCGCCCCCGTCGGCCAAAACCCGATTGAAATGGGACCCTGGAACCTCCCGGGGCCCGAGCGCACCAGTTTTCCGCGCCGCGTCCGGCCGTGGCGACGAGGAGAGCCACCAGGGGCCAGAGGATCTCGGTCTTCGAGGCTTGAGGCTCGAACCTGGACGTGAACGCCGACCCGACCCAGTCGGTTATCGGGCCATAATTCGGTCTCGGGGACTCTGGTGGCCGTTCGGCATGACTCCGGCACCCCCGGGGCGCAGTTTGTCGTTCCGGATTGATTTCTGACGGTCCTGGGCCCCGAAAGTGGCCTCCACAGGCTACGACGCTGGAAACCCGCCTCGGACTTCGAACCTCAAGGGTCGACGAAAATAGCTGGCGTCATCGGAGACGCGGCCATCTCGTCCACCACAGCGGCGGCGTGAGCGCGGCCCTCCCGAGCTCAGCCCACGCGCCGCTTCCGCGCAGGCGTCTTCGTAGGATTTGAGGCGTCGTCGGCGCTGGGAACGGAAGGGGAGGTTCGAACCTCGAGGATCCAGGTTTGATGAGTTTTTTGTCGTTTTACGCCTCTGGACGCCGCTTTCGGGCCCCGGGATCGTCGAAAATCGATCCAGGGTGAAAAACTGCTTCGGAGGGGGCCCTGGGAAGGGCCCGGGGGCCGATTTTAATTTGATTTCGGTCATCCCGGGGGGAGGAGGGGGAGGGCGACGACGAGGGCGAGGAGGACGAGGAAGACGAGGAGGGCGAGGGTTGGAAATGACGGGGCGCCCCCGTAAGTTGACCCGGTTCGTTCGAATGTGTTTCGCAGATATTATTGGGAATCTCGTTCAAATTAAACTCCAACCCTCCATCCCTCCAGGCTCCGCCGGAGGCGCCCGGAGAAGAATATTTTCAAATTGCGGCCGTGCCCCCAAATTTGAAGCATGCCCCTTTGCGTCGCCCGGGACCCCCCAGGAATTCCCAGGGGCCCAGGCGGATTCTGTTGGTTTGTGGAGGATCTTTCGAACCCTCCATCCTGGTGGATTCCTTCATGGGCGCTCTCTTGGGGCCGCTTCCAATCAGCGGATGGCACCTCCAACGACGCGCATACGCGCGCGCGCGTGGCGCGTGCTCACTACTGATGAAGTGCCCCCCCCCGACGGGATCTCCCAAGTGCGGCGGCAACGGGCCCGTCGTGGACAAATGCGCAAAAACGATATGTCGTCGCACGGGCCATTTTTTAATCGGTCAAATGAGCTGTGCGATGTGCGATATGCTCGCCGTGGACAGCTCAGTTCAAGCACGCGTGGCACGCAATATTTTTGGTGCGACGGCGACGGGGGGGGGCCACACACATGCGCAGCACAAATCACGCAGGTTGGCTAACGGTGCGACAGCGACCGGCGGGGCCGCGACAGATGGACCTTCCACTTGTTTCCGAAACTCTCCGCGCGGTGCGACGGCGACGGGGGGGGGGCAGACAGATGCCCTGTACATAGAATGTTTGAATTCAGTTTGTGGAACTACATGTCGACTGTTCTAGTGTGGACAATGCAAAAACTCTGTCGCGCGCGCTTCTGACTTTTGCGTTGCCCACGCTAGACAAGTGGACGCGTCCGTCGGCCTCGTTAAAAAGCCACAGGCATTTTGAATTCAGTTTTTGGAAATCATTGTGGACAATGCAGAACTCTGTCGCGCGCGCGCGTCTGAGTTCTGTATTGTCCACGCTAGAAAAATCGTCGCGTCCGTCGGCTTCCTTAGAGAGCCACAGACATTTTGAATTCATTTTTTCGGAATTACATGTCGATTATGCTTATGTGGACAATACAGAACTCTGTCGCGCGCGCGCGTCTGAGTTCTGTCCACAATAGAAGAGTCGACGAGTCCGTCGGCCTCCTTTAAGAGCCACGGAAATTTTGAATTCAGTTTTTGGGATCACATGCCGATTTTGCGATTGTGGACAATACAGAACTCTGTCGCGCGCGCGCGCGCGTCTGAGTTCTGTATTGCCCACACTAGAAAAGTCGACGCGTCCGCCGGCCTCCTTGAAGAGCCACAGAAATTTTGAATTCTGTTTTTGGCATTACATGTTACCTAGTCTATTGTGGACAGTACAGAACTCTCGCGCGCGCGTCTGAGTTCTGCATTGTCCACACTAGAAAAGTCTACGCGTCCGTCCTTTAGAGAACCGCAGAAATTTTGAATTCAGCGTTTGGAAATACATGTCGACTATGCTAATGTGGACGATTCAGAAGTCTGTCGCGCGCGCGCGTCTGAGTTCTGTACTGTCCAGAATAGAAGAGTCGACGCGTCCGTCGGCCTCCTGGAAGAGCCACAGAAAGTTTGAATTCAGTTTTTGGAATTACATGTCGACCATGCTAATGGGGACAATACAAGAACTCTGTCGCGCGCGCGCGCGTCGGAGTTCTGCATTGCCCACGCTAGAAAAGTCGATGCGTCCGCCGGCCTCCTCAAAGAGCCACATAATTTTTGAATTCTGTTTTTGGAGATACATGTCACCTGGTCTATTGTGAACAATACAGAACTCTGTCGCGCGCGCGCGCGTCTGAGTTCTGTATTGTCCGCAACAGAGAAGTCGACGCGTCCGTCGGCCTCCTTAAAGAGCCACATGAATTTTGAATTCTGTTTTTGGAATGACATGTCGACTGTGCTATCGTGGAGAATTCAGAACTCTGTCGCGCGCGCGCGCGTCTGAGTTATACACGCTAGAAAAGTCGACGCGCCCGCCGGCCTCCTCAAAGAGCCACCGAATTTTTGAATTTAGTTTTTGGAAATACATGCAGACTTTTATATTCTGGACAACAAC